GTTGGTGAACTCTATCAGTTGATCTTCTGGTTTTGTAGTGCCATCATAGGCTCCTACCAACACATTCTTCACTTTGCCCGGCTGGGCGGCCTCAATTATTTCCTTGGATAAAGCGGACAATTGTTCTCCAAGTCTAAGAAACCTAAGTTGTCAGTCCAAAGGTTGGACGTTTCTTGCCGCCTATCCTCCAAACAGAGTAGGTTGCATGAAATATTGAGGTTGCGGCACGTATGGCTGGGGTAGCACATGTAGTGCCGCCTGGTTTTTCTGGGAGCCGGACCGGTGGGAGGTACCGCCTGTCTGGCTCTCATAGTTTGAGTTTGAATACCTCAAGGAGGTATTGTGTAAACTATCTTGAAAATCAGACGTTGAGGCCGACTCTGAGAGTCGATCACTCTTCTTCTGCTCTAACAACGTTTGAGCATCAGAGTATGTTCTCTTTGCCCGTTCGGTTGAATATAACTGATGAGCTTTCTCTTTCCTGGTGAGGGAAAGTGATACTTCGTTAGGTCGATCACTGGCTGCTGCCTTACCCCAGGCTTTGGGTAAGGGGTTGCCTTACGATCTTTTACAAGCTTCTTCCTCTCAGACTGGGAGGGTCTTCTGGCCGACTGCTCCTTAGATGGAGCAGGCGTCTTCTTATTAATGAGTTCCTGGATCTCCCCTTTGAAATTATTCTTAAAAGTCATGAGTTCACTTCTAGTAATGCGGGTAGATCCCTCGGCCACTTGTTAATGATCAAGCGGCTGGCCGGCAGGTTTACTAGATCCAGCCAGGCAATCCTGTCGTTCCTTCCTTTCGGAGGAACGAATCCGTCGAGCTCTTAAGGTCCCGTCAAGGGCCGTGTGAGTCTCGACCTTGACCTCATTGTCAGTATCCCAGTCACTATAGACCTGAGGGTCGTCCATAGGACGCTTCTCGCTTTGATTCGGTACACACTGTGATGCCATCTCAAAAGTACTCTCCCCACAGACGGCGCCAAAATGTTTCGGGGTTTTTTGATGTCCTGCGGGAGAGTTACAATTCCGGGACTGGTACCCTTGCGCCTGTACCTGCAAAACAACGAAGACTCCTTGTGGTGGGAGCTCCGCCTCCAACGGTCAAGTTAGTACTTGTTTGAGTAATAAGTGCGGAAAAGTAAAGGTGGGAGATCTGGTCCCTCAAGGTGAAGAGTGATCAATGTATTTTGGCTTCTCTCGGTGAGAGTAATTAATTGCTGAATCCCGTTTAATGAGGATTAATTAATGTATTTATAGCCTTGGGAAGCGTGCTTAATTCTAGGGTTTTTGGTAAACCCTAGACCTGACTGGGCTTCTCCCGGGAAGTGGGCTTAGGTGGCCTCCTTCCAAGCTGGCAATCAATGGGCCACATGGCGTGGCTTGACTGGTCCATGGTGGACAAATGGCCGTGTGCCACGTGGTTTCCCCCTGAGAGGTCCAGATGGAGGACACTTGGCCGGATCTAATTGGTCCACGTGGCGTACACTGATTGGGCGGGGAAAACCCCCCTAATCACCACCTACGTTGCTTGCCGAAGGCTCGTCGGACCGTACGTAACTGGTAGGATTATTTAATTTTTTTGTTTTCGAAATTCCAAGGCAAACGCCCAGAAATTTCGAGAAACCTTGGTAGAAACGCCTATTTTTTTCGGACACCCTAGGAAATTTCGAAAAAACTAGGCGTTTCTGTCTAGGTTATTCGAAATTTCTGGGCGTTTTCTTGGGAATTTCGAATTTATTTCAAAAATTTACAATTCTTGTCTTATTAATTAGAAAAGATGAATTGTTCATAAGTGAATTGTCATATCATTTGTAAAGTATGTTGTTTGCATTTGGATGAATTGCTCTTATAAGGCATCGAATGATTTTTCAATCACAAACCAAATACAAATCAATTCTTATAAAGTATTCAGTATGCCTTACATGTTGCCACGGGTACACTAGTTATATTTAATTTGCCAATAAAATATGTAGTCATTTCCTAAGTTCCTAGGAACATAAACATCCGAGGCAAAATTTAAGGAACTAGAAGACTAATTTGTTCTTTAATTCCCTTCCTCCAGACGTAAAAAGCAAGTAATGTAAGTTTCAGAACCATTTTCTGTTGATGGAATCTACAGTATTAAGAATCCAAGAAATGTAGATATGTACTCCGTAATCTATGTGTATTCTAATTTATTTTTGTAATCATTCTTTTGGGATTAGCATGCTTGCACACGTAACTTTTATTTTCTACACTTTTAATTCCCCAAAAATCGAGTAAAAAGCATTTGTAGCTAGAAATAGGCAAAGTATAAAAAGTTATGAAATTTGCTAGACCAATATTCTAATTTGCAAGATCATAACTAATTTATATTATGTCCTTTGATTTTTCTATAGTCAATTAAAGTATACTATAGGGAAAAAAATTATAGTTATATACTACGAATTTGTTTAGGAGGTTCGTTTTGGATTACTCTACTTAATTAATTTCTCTAGTTATAAAATTCTCAATCGTTTATAAGTGTGTGATCACACCTTTTAGTTGTTATTATAATTAGTTGTGTATTGTTGTTGTTGTTGTTATTATTATTATTATTATTATTATTATTATTATTATTATTATTATTATTATTATTATTATTATTATTATTATTATTATTAGTTGTGCGTTGTTAGATTATTATTATTAGTTGTGTTTTTGTTGTTTCTCAACTTTTATTAATATTTGTTTTTATTGTTATTATTATTATATAGGATTCTGAGTCTGAGGATGGTGATGGTGTGGACTATAGCGGACATTTTTTTACAGACACTGTGTTATCGAGTTTGAGGATGTTGTTCTATGGGCACAACATGTTTGTTGCCCACTTTGATTTATGTTAGTGAAGGCTTCTTACAAGACCGATCGGAGTGGTTGGCCGTATCGATATGTGAGTTGTGATCGTGGAAAAAAGAGCATGATAAGAGACATGATGAATACGTTATGCAAAGACACGAAAAGCAAGGCAAACAGTTGTCCCTTCAATCTAAAGGTTGAGTATGTCAGGGTAGTAAGTGGTTGGAAGCTCAGTTGCTTGAACGACACTCACAATCATTCTTTGGCTGTGTATCCCGAGGGACATCGACAAACAGCGGTCTTAGTCTTGATGCTAAGCAGGTAGTACGTGACATGACTCAGGCATATGTGTCACCTCGGCATATCATGAGAACTCATGTAGAAAAGTTTCCCGGAGACCATCCAAACATTAGGCATGTCTACAACTGCAGAAGTAATATCAAAATGGAGCGATTCGAGGGAACAGAGGTGGTTCACCAGGTGCTTCATTTGTCCAGACAGAGCAAATACCTCACTTGGGTTATGACTAATACCAACAATGTGTTGCATTTTTGCTTTCATGGCACACCCAATCATGACAAATTTGCTACGCACATACCCGTACGTGATAGGTATGGATTCCACTTACAAGATGAACCGATACGGCATGCCATTCTTTGATATTGTTGGGGTTACACTGACAAATCAGAACTTTCTTATTGCATACGCATTCATGAGGTTGGAGTCCGAAGAAAGTTATCGGTGGGTGCTTCAGTGCTTGAGGTTGTTGATCGGTCATCATAGAAAGCCGTCGGTACTACTGACTGATAGGGAGCTTGGCCTTTGTGCAACGTTGAAGAGTGTATTTCCAAACACAAGACACATGTTGTGTGTGTGGCATATTAACAAAGATGTTGAGGCGAAGGTTACTTCCATGTTTGAAAAAAAGAAGGAGATTGGTGCCAAGTTCAAAAATGGGAGGTGGAGGCATGTGATTAATGCTACATCTGAAGAGGCGTATAAAAGAGAGCTTGTAGAGCTGAAAACCAAGTGGGGTGGATGGCCGAAAGTGATTGACTATGTTGTGGACACTTGGCTCATACACAAGGAGAAGTTTGTGATGTTTTAGACGAACCAGGTACTGCACTTCGGCAATGTTAACAATTGCAGGGTTGAGAGCCATCATTCAGCATTGAAATGTTAGACTGACAGTTCTACAGGTTCCTTAGACACAGTTTGGGCTCAAGTGCACTATACAGTTCGATTGAGAACCAGATCATAGCCATTCATAATGGGTTAGAAGCATGTAGAGTAACTCATGGTCAGGAGTACAAGCAGATGCATATGCACTAACTAAACGGAAAGGTATCACATTATTGGTTGTCTATTCTTCTCGGTGAGACGAACAAGATGTGAGGATTGAATACGGATGTCCATCGACGTTGTGGGTGTGCTCTACGTACTACCCACGCGTTACCTTATGCGTGCCAAATATATGACTCGATTATTGCAGGGAAGGGGTTGTATACGAAGAACATTCATCGATATTGGAGCACCCTTGTCATTGGAGCGGGTGTCGACATTCCTGATAAAGTTGATGAAAATGATGAGGATCGAGCTCATTTCCGCACCCTTGTTGATCGGGTTATTGCCAACGACCCTGTGATGCTTAGGCACATGTCTCAAGTAATTGAGGGTGAGATGGATCCTAACTACGATGACCTTCAAGAGCCTCGAGTCAACCCCTGAGTAAGGGGACGACCTCCCGAGAGAAGGAACAGACAAGATCATTCGTTTTTCAAGCATGTTCAACGTAATGGGCGAGATAATTGATCCAGAAGTAGACCACCCCCATCTGATATAGGTGATTATCGATATTATATTTTAATTTATTTTGTGTAATAATTTAATTATATGTCATATTATGTTTTTTATTTTGTAAGTACCGGGTTCGACATACGACAATGCAGATACCGCTGCGCGATTCCCAACATCATTTGGCCTTACGTCGTAGGTGTTAAGGACGTAATTGGAGATGAGAACTGGGGATTTCGTTGCGTAGCAGATTTTTGTTACGAAGATCAGGAGGAGTGGTGATTGGTTCGACATCATATCGCAAATGAGGTTGGTTCTCAACTTTGGTTGTACAACATGATTTACTACGACATATGGGGTCAACACGTTGGTTTAGGACTTTAAAGGGAGGTAGACTGGATCAGATGGGATGGTGATGCGTGTGGACAGAAGCATTGGATGGTAGCACAACAGGATTTTTTTGCTATTGCCATAATATGGAAGGTGGTAGTGATTTGTTATGGAGTAGGAAATAGACCATCTAGCTACTATCCATCTACCACTGTTTTGTCGTTGAACAATCGTGGACGCTTAGACAAGCATAATGCAGAGTTCGTGATTGGAACTGTTGGTGGATCGCATTTCATTCGTTTGCATATGGATCGTGACCACCCACTTCCTCGAATTTCACCATTGTGGTTTAACGCTCATTAGGAAAGTGTACACGGATGGGAGGCAAGGTACAAGAGAAGGCTTCAATTGTGGCAGACATTAGTTATCTCTTGTGTTTCGTTGAGTACTATTATGGATTTTTATTAAACTTTATATAAGTTTATTAATAAAAATGATTATTTTTTTTTAATTTTTTTTAAGCAATTCACTAGTACATAATTGAGTTTATGTAACACGTTTTAGTAACACTTTTTGATATGCAAAATTATTAGATTTATAAGTAACACTTTGGTAACATTTTTTTAGAATGTAACACTCAATGTAACACTTTTATCATAAGTAACACTTTTGAAATAGGTAACATTTTATGGTAACACTAAACTTCTTTTTTTTTTTTTGGAAAAATATGGTAACACTAAGTCACTAACCTATTTCTATATCACCCCTAGTAACAAATGACATTTTTGTCCTTTCTTTTTCTTTTTTCTCTGTTTTGGTTTCAGTTTTCCCTTTTTACTTAATGTCTTCTTCTCTCTCCTCTAAGGTGAGGCAAAACAAGCAGCGAAGGAAGAGGACGGAGCAGCTGGAGGACTCGCGTCACAGTAAATAGCACCGGCGAGATGGACCATCAAAAGAGCGGTGTCAACTGCTGAAAACACGCCACTTTTAACAATAGAAAGCTGTGAGTTTTCTTTGATATTTGATTTCGCATTGTCAATATTTTCAATCTAGGGTTTTTGGGTGCTTATTCAATGCAAGGGGTAAAATTTTAGGGTTTTTAAAGATTAAGTAATTTTGATTATTGATTAGTGTTTTGTTATTCATTCTGATTTCCGCTATTACTTGAATTTCACCCTTTTTCTTCGAATTTTCTTCTTTCTATTACAATTTTGTGAATTGTTTTATTCTTGGGTATATGATGGTTTTGATGAAAATAGTTGTTTTAAATAGGCATTTGATTGAGTTAATTAATTCCAAATTGTGGTAATTTATTTCTCTTATATGTTTATTTTTTATCTAAGGCGAAACTTCTTGGGTTTTTATTGTTTCGTCAGTGTGACGGCCATAGCAATGGGCCTGGTGATCGAGGTAGAGATCTCGCATTTCGAGCAGAAATCAACCAACATCTTAAGGGAATTGTTATAGGTTTTTAAAAAAGGTTCGTCAATGGCGTACATAACCATGGGTGGAGCAGAGTTGTCAGCATTTGAGGTAGAAATGAACCAGCCTTTTAGTCTCATTATCAGTTCTTTTTAATCAACCAGGGAGTTCTTCAATAGCTCACCTCCAACTCCTCTGATTTATTTCAGTACCTTTATCTCTGATATTTAAAGATTTATTTTATCGAAACCTGAATTTCAATCATATTATATTGATTTATTCTTTCTAATTATATGAAGTATGATTTGTTGTTTATTCTGATCAATAAATTTTGAAAGTCATTCAACACCCCCCCCCCAATGTGGGTGATCTTGATTTTGAATTAGTGAGAATTTTGGGAGACAGTTGGTCAATGTTTTAATTAAAATTATTAGATAAATATGGTTGGACAGATTGTTGGGTTCAAATTCAATTTTGGATTTTTTTTTTTTTTTTTTTTTTTTTTTTTTTTTTACTGAAGTTGTTTTTGGTTGGATACAAGTAGTGAAGTAGACCATGACAACTATAATGTTAGACTGTTTTGATGCAATTCGTGTAGAATTCTCTGATCTAAGTGCAATTTCTTTTTTAGAATATAATTAGATTAAGCTAAGTCAAGTGAAACTGTTTTCAAGTGAAAATGTTTCCTAGTGAAGAGGTCTTTAAGGGGAATTAAGATTAATCATCTGAATGCATTAGTACATCTCATAGGATGCTCTTTGAGAGGTGACAGAACACTGATATATCTTCCACTAGATAGACTTTTGAAAAATGTCATAGATATTGGGAGTGACCTACTAAAAATCCAAAGACAAACAAGTTACATATGCTAGATATCATAGAAATAAATAGCATTTATCTCATGAAATTTGTAAAACCACAAAAAGAAACTTGAAAATAGATAACATTAGGAGAGTGTAGCTGAATAAGCTCAGCGATAGCTTGCATCCTCTTATGCACCTCTAAGTTTTCTACGAACCACACATTATATGTAAGGATCTTTATCACACCTGAATTTCAGAATTTTCAGCAATTTCCTTGGAACTGAATTGCTTGTTTTTGCCTTTCCAAGCCATTTTTAGAATCCAATAAGCAAGATACAATAGATCCCAAAATGAATTATTTCTATGAAGGACTTAAATTATAAGAACTATAGAGAGCCTGAATCTTACAACAATGAATAGGAACAACAAATAAGTGACTGATAAATAAAATAACTTTAGAATAGAAGACAACAAAATTTTAGCACTTTTAAATGAATCAATAATGTCCATGGGAGTACTTGGTAATCTCAATTGTGTTGTTTCAGAATTAGATTAAAAAAAATTGATCGTGGACATTAAAAATTTTAAAGAAGAAATTTAAATGAGTTTCAAAACATCCTACAAAATTCACAGTAACCTTCAATTGGGTGTTACTTAAGGTTAATTACGTACTAGTGTCTTTTCTTTTTAGTTTACATTTGATTTTTCTATATATCATTCCCTTTTTTATTCTTAGATTTTGTGATGTGAGTGCCCTGTGCTTTTTAGTCGATTAGAGGTTCTAAACATATCAACAAACCGTTTGAGTGATGCTTATGGAATTTACCTTGTCCACCATATTGTATAACTGCAAAGGTGAAAATTTTCTTTTTTTATATGTTCTGATTTGGTTTTAGTAATTCCATGAAATACTCAAATCAATTCTCTTGGTCTTACTATGTAGGACTTTATAGTCTGAACTCTGAATATTGATCAATGTTCGATCAAGTCCAGAACAATTCTTAGATTTGCTGCATCATCTATCATGCTCAAGGGATTGACAACTCAATATATAGTTTGTAGCAGTTTCAAGGTACACTGCATTCTTCTCTCTGTGATTATTGACTATAAGCCTGGTAAATTGTAAATTTAACATCTCATAATGAACTTCAGACTAGGACTTGGTTCTAATACTCTCCCTTGTTTCCGGTGTGTATTTATAAGTGAAGTTATGCTCGCCCATGACAATGACCTAGTTGTATGTCTAAGTATGCTATTCAACATTCAATTTGATGACAGTTGTTAGCACATCACACATGTCAGTTATCATTGGCATATCTTTTTACTTGTTTTATAAGTCATTAAGTAGCTTGCATATGAAAACATATACCTTAAGAACCACTCATGAAGTCTACACTTCTAGTGAACATGTGTAGCAAGTATCATCTCAGTCTGTTTCTATTGAAGGCACAAACAGTACCACAAGTTTATTTTTAAGAAGAGTTTTTTTTTTCTTCGCGTTATTCAGATCCAAACTTTAGAATGATCAGAGGAAAGGGTTGTTATTAGCTGTAATATTGTCTATTCTTCCAACTTATAAGCTGTAGTATTAAGCTGTTTCCTTTTAGCTGAATTAATGCAGAGAGAAGTAAATTCTTGCCCACTTCTTCATAGCAAGTATATGTCCTTAGGTTTTGATGCTTGTTTGATGCTACTGCTGCTGGTGTTGCCTGTTGTTGTTGGTCGGCTTATGTGCTGCTGATGTTCAGCTTCCGAGTTGCTGCTGTTCTGTTTCTGAGCTGCTGATGTTCTGATTTGAGCTGCTATTGTTTTGCACATTGTAATTTTTTCTTTATTTGTTGTAATTGTAATATTACAAGCATTTATTAATAAAATTATCTATGTTTTATATATGTATATATAATGGTTTGTCTATCAATATTACTTTTTTTTTTTCCTTTTCTGGGCATAAAGGGCACCAGTTCAAGGGAAGAACTTGTGCCCTTTATTGACATTAAGGGCACCATTTTGGCCCTTGAACCGGTGGCCAAAACCTCTATCATGGGTGATTAGGGGATTTTGCTCCCACCAATCGGAATGCGCCACGTGGGCCAATCAGGTCCTACCAAGTGTCCCCCAGTTGGACCTCTCAGGGCTAGCCACGTGGCACACGCTTATTCGTCCACCCTGGACTTATTATGTCATGACACGTGGCATACTCCATGCCTAATGGAGAAGCCGGTCACCTAGGCCCAACTTCCGAGGGAAGCCCAATCAGCCCAAGGTTAACCTAAACCTAGATTGGCACGTTTCCCGAGGTTATAAATACCTCCCTTAATCCTCATTAAGGGAGAGGACATCAGAAAACCCCGAAACATTTTGGCGCCGTCTGTGGGGAGAGTACTTCTGAGATGGCACCCACGTTTGTACCGGCTCCTGAAGAGAGACGTCCCCTGGACAATCCTCTAGTTCAGTCGGACCAGGATACTGAGAATGAATTTGAAGTTGAAGCTCACACAGCATCAGACGGGACCCTAAGGGCCCGACGTACCCGTCATACCGAAAGGGGGGAACGGGAACATCTTCAAACTGGAAGCGAGCTAGCAGGCGCACCGCTTGTTCGGCAGCAGCCGACTGATGGGTCTGCTCCCATCACAAGGAACGAACTCATGACCTTCATGAGGGACTTCAAGGGAGAAATTCAAGAGTTGATCAACAAGAAGCCGCCTGCTCTGGACAAGGAGCAGTCGGCTAAGAAACCCTCCACTTCACGGAAGAGGAATCCAGTTCAAGGGCGAGAGGCGACCCCTCATCCTAAATCTAGGAAGTGGGAGCCACCTGCCCTTGACTTCACAAAATACCGTTTTCCTACTCTAGGAAATAGGAAACCTGTTTGTCATATTCAGGCGGACGGGTCGAGGAAAACATACACAGACGCTCGGCTACTGCTAGAGCAGAAGAAGACTGAACGATTGTCAGGGTCGGCCTCTACTTCAAACTTCCAAGACAGTCTGCGAAATACCTCGATGAGGCATACTCAGTCGTATCATGAGAGTCAGTCAGGCGGCACCTCCCGTCAGTCCGGCTTTCATAGCGATCAGGCGGTGCCAAACTTACCGTTTGTACCGCAACAACAGTATTTTTTACAGCCACCTCCGTTTGGTGAACATGCAGCAAAAAATGTCCAACCTGTGGACTGGCAGCTACGGTTGCTTAGACTTGGTGAACAGCCGTCGGCCTTCTCCAAGGAAATTACTAAAGCCGCTCAGCCGGCCAAAGTGAAAAATGTATTAGTAGGCGCCTATGACGGCACTACTAACCCAGAAGACCATTTGATGGCATTCACCAACCTGATGTACCTTCAAGGGTTGGATGATCCTACTTGGTGCAAGTGTTTCCCAGCGACTCTCAAAGGAATCGCACAACAATGGTTCGGAAACCTGGCGACTGGTTGTGTAAATAGCTTCAGGACGCTTGCTTACTTATTCACCTCCAACTTCGCCATGAACATCTCTGCGAAGAAGACGACCCTTGATTTAGGAACAATTCAGCAGGGCGAGAAGGAGGGGCTTCGTTCTTACATCAGGCGATTTAACCTGATGAGAATACAGATTCAAGGGTTACCGGATGAAGTAGCCTATACTGACTTTTTCAGAGGTCTCAAAGACGGGTCGACCTTCAAATTTGATTTGGTCCGAAAGAGGGTGGCGACTCTTCAAGAGGCCTTGATTGAAGCGGAAGCCTATATACAGGCGACTGATCTTTGTAGTATGGTAAAACAGTCAGACGGGAAAAGGTCCGACAAAAGAGAAGGACGACAGAAGCAGTCGTCAAACAAAGACGAGAAGAGAAAAGAGGTTTGGGCAACTGATTCCTCTAAACAGCCGTCCCAGAAGAAGAAAAAAGAATTCAAACCATACTCCCCAAAGTATGTGTTTAACAAGGATAGCCAATTTATCCTAAAGGAAATCAAGGGACGGATCTCAATTAAGAAATCGGTCCCCATGAAGGGTTCTGCAAACAATCGGAACCAAGAAAAATTCTGTGATTATCATGAAGATGTTGGTCATCACACCAATGAATGCATCACTCTCATGCGGTATCTGGACCGCCTGGCTGAGCAAGGTGACCTTGACACTTATGTCAAGAACTCTACGGGGAACACTTCCTGGAAAAAGCAGTCGACCAAAAAGAATCAACAGGCCGACAGCTCCGATACAGATGATGCAGTCGTCTACACCATTGCAGGCGGCTTCTCATGAGGCGGCCCCACTATTAGGGGCAACAAAGACAATATCAGACGGTTAGATGTAAATTCCGTTCACCAAGAACGACCCTCCAAATATTCATTTCCTGAGATTGTTATCACTGAAGAAGATCTAGGAGGGGTAAGAGGGCCACATGACGACCCTATCGTTATTGAATGTAAAGTGGCCAACCAGAGAGTTGGTCGAATCCTCATAGATACCGGAAGCTCCTCAGATCTCATCAGTAGCAAATGTCTGTCGAAATTAAAATATCAGACTGATTGCATACATCCGGCATCCCACCCTTTAGTAGGGTTTGGAGGAGGAGTCGTCCACCCAGTGGGACGAGTGGATTTACCCATCCGCCTGGGCGAAAAAGGGGAAGGACGACACATAGTAGTCCGGTTCCTTGTAGTAGAAGAACTCTCGGCCTACAACATGATTCTGGGACGACCAACCCTGAATAATTCCAAGGCTGTTATAATCCCATCTCTTATGTTGCTCAAGTTTGAGAGGGATAATGGAACAGTCGGGTCCCTAAGGGGAGATCAGAGGATGGCCCGAGAGTGCTATCTCTCGGATGTCAAGCCCACTGTTATGGCCACTATGTCGAGCGGTGGAAAAATAGACCTTGACAATGTCAAGGAGAGTGCGCCTGTTCAAGAAGCAGGCGGCAAGAAGAGAAAGGCATCACAGACAGGGGCCGCAAGAAAAGACAGAAAATAGCAATCATTGGCAGAGGAGCGGTCGGATGAATTCCGCCCTCAGCCAGCTGGTGAGCATACGGACCTGATCTTAGATGACTCGCGTCCTGACAGAACAATCAAGGTTGGGACGACTGCTCTAAGGGACCTGGGTGACGACTTTCACAAACTATTGAAAGAATACAAGGACATCTTTGCATTCGAAGTCCATGAAATGCCAGGCATTAGTCCTGATCTGGCGGTACATAAACTGGCTGTGGATCCGAAAAAGACGCAGGTACGGCAGAAGAAGCGGAACCATGGCGAAGAAAGAAGTCAGGCGGCAGCCGCCGAAGTTAAAAAATTACTTGATGCAGGGTTCATTCGGCAATGTTACTTCCCAGACTGGGTTACAAATGTGGTGCTTGTTAAAAAGCCGAATGGCACCTGGCGAATGTGTGTAGACTACACAGACTTAAACAAGGCGTGCCCCAAAGACAGTTACCCTCTGCCTAAAATTGATAACCTGGTCGACTCAACAGCCGGCCATGCTTTGATGAGCTTTATGGACGCCTACTCTGGTTTCCATCAAATTCCTTTATGGAAGAAAGATCAGGAGAAGACGACCTTCGTCACTGATCAGGGGTTATACTGTTACACGGTCATGCCGTTTGGTCTTAAGAATGCCCCGGCCACTTTCCAGCGAATGATAAACACTGTGTTCTTTGATCAGATTGGGAGAAATGTCGAGGCATATATTGATGATATGATTGTCAAGTCAAAACTTCAGAAAGATCATCTGTCGGACCTCCGAGAAACTTTCGCCACACTCAGGCGGCACCATGTCATGCTCAATCCCAGGAAATGTTTCTTTGGAGTTGAGTCTGGGAAATTTCTCGGATTCCTTATCAATCAGAGAGGAACAAAGGCGAACCCTGAGAAGGTGCAGGCGGTCATCGACATGCAGTCGCCTCGTACCATCCGAGAGGTTCAGAAGTTAACAGGTTGTCTGGCGGCCTTGGGAAGATTTCTAAGCCAATCAGGCGACAAATGCCTATACTTTTTCCAGGCAATTAAGAAAAAGGCAAGGTTTGAATGGGGGCCGGATGCTGAGGCGGCCTTCCAGAAATTGAAAGTTCACTTGCATTCCTTGCCGAGGCTGGTCAGCCCTTTTCCCAAAGAAGTACTCTACATGTACCTGGCCGTCTCTGATCATGCGTTAAGCGCTGTTCTCCTTGCTGAAAGAGACGGCTGTCAGCTCCCGGTCTACTTTGTCAGTCACGTACTGAAAAATGCCGAGTTGAGGTATCCCTTAGTGGAGAAATTTGGTCTTGCACTCTTCATGGCTGTTAAAAAATTGAAGCCCTACTTTTTGGCACATGCAGTCGTCGTGTATACAGACCAACCTATCAAGCGGCCACTGACCATCATGGAGTCGTCAGGCCAAATGATCAAATGGGCCATAGAAATACAGAGCCTCGAAGTTACCTTCGAGCCTAGAAAAGCAGTGAAGGGGCAAGCCTTTGCTGACTTTATTGTTGAGATGACTCGTCCTCCTGACTCTCAAGTTCCAGACCAAGTCTGGAAGGTATATGTGGATGGAAGCTCTACTTCAAATGGTTCTGGAGCAGGCGTCATATGTCAGTCGCCAGAGGGCGACAGGTACGAGTATGCTCTACGCTTCAGTTTTCAGGCCTCAAACAATGAGGCAGAATATGAAGCTTTACTAGCCAGAATCCGCATGCGCAAGGCGGCAGGGGCAAGAAAAATAGACGCATGTTCCGATTCACAGTTGATAGTGAGTCAGTACAATGGCGAATACGAAGCAACCCATCCGGCCATGATCAAGTATTTACAGGCGGTCCGACAAGCAGTCAGCTCCCTTGAGGATTTCCATCTGACCCAAGTGCCGAGATCAGAAAACAACCAGGCGGATGCACTTTCAAAATTAGCATCATCCGCCTCCTGTGATACTCCTCGA